CAAATAATTAATTTTAATTTAATAAGTCACAATATGACGCAACTACACTATCTTATTCATAGTCTAAATAAAGCATTATATTTTCGTAACAGTCTCCTTTTGTATCTTGGAAATTTGTTTTCCTTTTACAATACACTAAAATGCGTTTCTATAATATGAATGAATACAGAAAACACGGCACCAAGAAAAATTCTCACTTAATTGGTGCCTATTTTAAACCGGATTTAACGGTATATATTTTAAGGGTTCCGTTCTAACATGGCAAACACTCATCGTGGCCGAATTTATTATGTGCATTCTGTTCGATCGCTCCTGTGCGGATTCCAGACGAGAATTATTTTCAGACAGACAATGGAATTTCAAACTTTTATGTAAACAACAAACCAGACATTCCGAACAATTTAAACAACATTTCGAAAACGTGCATCTAAGTACGGCACAGTACATACATAATTTAACACAGCTTTTGTCAGGGACATGCATCTTTCTAATTGTATTTATTTATGGATTATTTTAAGATGCTGCCGGTAACTCAAAGTATGAAAGGAAGGGGTAGTGGCCAATTTCATGTACTATCCGGGCATTTGCCTCTAGCGGCTGATACATATAACAAAACACCACAGGACAGATGTGCCCAGCTGGGACCTTCCCCCCACTCCACCTCAAACTGGAAGCAGTAGTACCAACTACTGAACCGCGAATTATAGACAGCCTATAAGAAGCTTTAGCCTTTAAATCCTACTTGTAACCACGTGTACCACGTGGTCCAACAATCTCTAACGCTCACTCAGTGCATATACAGATTTCGTACGGTACTCAAAATATACCCTATCCAACAGGTACCGGGGTCCTTTCCCGGTGGTAAAGCCGGCCGGGGCGTTCTGCTGACCACTCACCCCCATCTAGTGCATGTAGCGGGATGGCTTTACTTTTCCTTTACTAGAAATATACAGCGGCTATTTTCGTAAACAGAATTAAGGACTTGATCGTTGTCAAGGAGAAACGCTTTCTTCACGGTAACGGTCCGGATGTTTATATGTTATTTAGGTCATCTTATACTTCAAAGAGTTAAGTATAACGTTGCATGCACAGCATATTAAAATAATGACGAACGATGCACAAACAAAAATAAAACATTTACAAAAGAGTCCCTGAGGTTGGTTTAACAACTAACGCATGAAATTTGTACTACAGAGTTATATCTTATTTATAGCGGCGGTGGCCGAATTTATAACTTGTGGTGGGCAAGGCCGTGGTCTAGGCAGCCCGGAGTTTTCCTCCGTGGCATCCCAACAATTACTTCATTCACACACAGAAGAAGGCAATGGCAAAGCACTTCTGGATCATCTGCCAAGAACGTATATGAACAGGTCCCAGTCCGAGAAAAGGATGGAAGGATCCTGTTCATATGGACCTGTCGTCAGACAGAACACTACAAAAAAAAAATCCGTGGTAACTATAAACACCACCTGCTTTCACGTTTATAACTTTGTCTGTTGCTTAGACAGTTTATGGGTTTCGCTTTTAAAGATCATAAAACTTCTTACATTCCTAACGAACTGAGGTTTGTTCCCTTACAAGTGAGAAGACATTCATCATTCTCACCGCTGTGATAACCTCAGATCTCACGCGACACTGCCTGTTTCTTACGCAAACGCATTCATTAGCTGAAGTTATAACAGACCCAATATATCTGTGTAAACTAGATCAGGAGGCGAAAAAGTGTGTTAGTAGAAGCTAAGAATCTCGAGGAACGTTCTCTGTCTGCGCGTCACATTTGCCCGTAAGAGACTGGCGTTCGGTCTCAGTCCTCTCAGCGAGATCGTCTTTGTGCGACTGGCATATGCATCATGCACAAGGCCTTTTTGCGTCTGTATCCGCGGACGGAGCTCCTTGGAGACTCTGGCGAGTCGCTAATATTCAACTTTCATAACTCCACCGTACATCGCTTTATGAAAAGATACGTCATCACAATCGGAAATACGCTTTCAAAAAAGTGAATAACGTACTCAAAAGCACGAGCAGATAAGCAGACGGCGAGCTGGGATTACAGCGCTGTATGAATTCGACAATGAAATATTCAAAATGAGACAGCAGTAATGAAATATAAGGTCAATAAGGGCGTTCTATTAAATATTCTGCAGCCAATATCGAAATGGTATGTAAAAACCACTCTAAATGGCTGCAGGGGGTAAGGTCAAGGTCACTAAGCGACAGGCCATCAGATGCAGAGGATAAAGGAATTGATAAATCAATAAAAGAAAGGATATTTAACCCTATCAAACGTATTGGTAACTATACGTACCACCTGCTTTAATAATCAATAATAAAATTGTGAGCGTCAATGATTCTAAGATCAGCGACTATTTCTGTAAATAGCACTAAAGGTTTGATATTTGTAATGATGACGTCTTGCATTGTGATTCGAGGTCAAAATGTTTCAGCAATGGTTTGCTCAAAAATGTGCTCTAACAGTAGGACCTCTCCCACCATCGGTGTGCAACGACGCCTTCGGTCATGCAAGTTGCTTACAGATACGGACGGGCCCCAAAAGTATTTTTCGCTCACGACATAGCGCGAAGAACAGCTAAAAGGTTATGGTTCGCTACTGTAATCTTGAGACTTGCAAGGAATGCAGGAAGTCCGAAGCGTTAAAGACAGACGCTATCTTTCCTCCTTCACCCCACTTCCTCAGCCCGCAAGTCTCAAGATTACAGTCGCGAACAGTAGTTGGCAATCGAATAAATATAAACGCTGTGGACCGCACCATAATCGTATGTGGAAGTTACAAATTTGAAACAAATCACAGAATCATTTAATTACATTAACAGTGTTATAACAAAACAGAAAGTACGAACAGCTAAAATGTTATATGGCCATCGAAGAGCCAACTTTAACGAACAAAACTGAAAATATGATAACGCGAGGAAGAGACGGATTTACACTTAAAACAAGAGAAATTAGATTTGTCGGCGCAGTTCATTACAATAGGAGAGTGCTGTTTGACTTTTTATTTGTGAACAGCAATTTTGTACCACAGGGACACGCTACACGTGTCATTTCGGTATTCCCGAGTCAGAGGTGACGCGGGAACTGCTGGAATGAACGGCAGGGCGCGGGCAGGAAAGGGTGAGTGCCCCCACACGCGTACGTCGTCCTTACTGTCGACCCGACCCCGTGGCGCACAAGGTCACGACCCTCGCATCTGTCATGTAAACTAGAAAATACACATCGGCGAATTTATGAGACGCGTTGGCACAGAAGATACACACGACGACACAAATAGCGCAGCAAAAATACTGCAGACACGCCTTCACTAGGTCTAGGTCATCTGAGACAACTGATGTTCTCACGGTGGAGAAGACGCCGATGTCTTTTCTGGGTTATGGCGCCTTGTAGACTCGTCGGTGGATGCAGACATTTCGGATAAACAT